GCGATCGGTGGTACGCTGTGTCCCTAGGACACAGCGGATCACCGATCAACGAAAAGAGCCGAAGATGTCGACTCGGTCATGTGATCAGCTGTGTCCAATCACAGCTGATTGCATGTAAATAGGGAAATGCCGGTTATCGGCATTTCTCACCTCACGAGCTGTCAGCTGACAGCTCGAGAGGGAGGAGAGCCGGTAATCGGCATTCCTCGGAGGGGACATGTACATTGATGATCACGGCACTGATGATCAGTGTGCCCTGATGATCAGTGTAGCCCCAGCAGTGCCACCTGTCAGTGCCCATCAATGCTACATATCAGTGCCTACCAGTGCACATCAATGCCATATATCAGTGCCCATCTGAGCTGCCTTTCAGTGTCACCTATCAGTGCCAGTCAGTGCCACCTATCAATGCCAGTCAGTGTCACCTATCAATGCTGCCAATCAGTGTCGCCTAACAGTGCCAGTCAGTGCCACCTATCAGTGCCATATATGAGTGCTGCCTTTCAGTGCTCTTCAGTGATGCCTGTCAATGCCCATCAGTGCCTCCTACTAGTGCCTCCTCATCAGTGCCACCTATCAGTGCCCATCAGTGCAGCCTATCAGTTCCCATCACTGCAGCCTCATTAGCGCACATCAGTGAAGGAGAAAAATCACTTATTTACAAAATTTTATAACAAAAACTAAAAAAGAATTGTTTTTTTTTTTCAAAATTTTCAGTTGTTTTTGGTTTGTTTAGCAAAAGATAAAAAAAACAGAGGTGATTAAATACCACCAAAAGAAAGCTCTGTCTCAAAAAAATGATAAAACTTTCATATGGGTACAGTTTTGCATGACCGCGCAATTGTCATTCAAAGTGCAACAGCACTGAAAGCTGAAAACTGGCCTGGGCAAAAAGGGGTTATAAGTGCCCTGTAGGCAAATGGTTAAACTAGAGCAGCGCTGTATAGCAAATATTGGCATAAATTGCAGTACCTATACCATAGTTTGTAGACGCTATAACTTTCACACAAAGCAATCAATATACAATTATTGGGATTTTTTTTACCAAAAACATGTAGCAGAATAAATTTTGGCCTAAATGTATGACTAACTTTGAGCTTACTATATATTTTTTATAGCCAAAAGTAAAAAAATATTGTTTTTTTTTTTTTTTAAATCACTTGCCCTCCTGAGGATTTACCCCCTTAATGACCAGGCCTCTTTTTGCTACTCAACGCTGCACTAATTCAACTGATAATTGCGCGCGGTCATGCAATGCTGCACCCAAACAAAATTTACATCCCTTTTTTCACACAAATAGAGCTTTCTTTTGGTGGTATTTGATTACCTCTGCGCTTTTTATTTTTCACGCTATATAAACAAAAAAAGACTAAAAATTTTGAAGAAAAACAATATTTTTTACTTTCAGCTATAAAAAATATATAGTAAACTCAAAGTTAATTATAAATTTAGGCCAAAATGTATTCTGCTACATGTTTTTTGGTAAAAAAATTCCCAATAAGTGTATATTGATTGCTTTGTGTGAAAGTTATAGCGTCTACAAACTATGGTATAGATACTGCAATTTACGCATTTTTTTGCTATACAGCGCTGCGCTAGTTTAACAGACAATTGCGCGGTCATGCAATACGGTACATAAATGAAATTTACATCCTTTTTTTCCCCACAAATGGAGCTTTCTTTCGGTGGTATTTGATTGCCTGTGCGTTTTTTTATTTTTTGCGCTATAAAAAAAAAAGCCTGACAATTTTGAGAAAAAAAAAAACAATATTTTGGACTTTTTGCTATAAAACATGTCCAGTAAAAAAAAATTTGAAAATCAAATTTAGTCATAAATTTCTGCCAAAATGCGTTCTGCAACATGTCTTTGCTACAAAAAACCCCAATACGTGTAAATTAATTGGTTTACGTGAAAGTTATAGTGGAAAGATACTAGGATTTAATTTTTTTTTTTATACTAATAATGGCGGCGATCAGCGACTTATGGCGGCGATCAGTGACTTATGGCGGGACTGCGGTGGACATTCTGACTTGGGGTCACTGACATCCCCAGTGACACCAATACAGTGATCAGTGCAAAAAAAAAAACCCACTGACACTGTACTTATGGCACTGGGGAGGAAGGGGTTAACTTTATTATTCAGTGAAAGGGTTAACTGTGTGAGGGGAGTGTTTTACTAGGGAGCGGGGGTGTGTACTGCACGGAGACACACTGATCCGGACAGATAAACTCTTCTGTCCCGATCAGATCAGCGTGTCAGGAGCTGTCAGGGAACTGACAGAAACACAGCTACTGCAACTGTGCTCTCTTTCATTGATTGCCGCTAATCGCCGGGACATAGCCGGTAACAACCGGCTGTGACCCGGCGACTGACATCCGCGGCCGTGATCGGCGGGACAGGTAGGGCGGGGGCACGCCTCACGCATGCCCCTTACCTGTTTTGGAAAAACACACGTTATAAAACGTGGTTTTGCCCATCCGTGCCGTCGTATTTCTACAGTGGCTGGGCAGCATGTGGTTAAATTTCAGTCTTTTTTTTGTTTATAGCGTGAAAAATAAAAAGTGCACAGGTGATCAAATACCACCGAAAGAAAGCTCTATTTATGTGAAAAAAAGGACATAAATGTTGTTTGGGTACAGCATTGCTTGACCGCGCAATTATCAGTTGAAATAGTGCAGCGTTGTATAGCAAAAAGAGACCTGGTCAGGAAGGGGGGTAAATCCTCAGGATGGCAAGTGGTTAAAAGAGAAGAATGAACTTTTAGAAAAACAAACATTTATACTCACCTAGGTGTATGCAGCATCAGTCTGATGCTGCATCTGCCCCCCTCAAGCACTGCAGTGAGAACTAAGCAATCAAACACCACTGATTGCTCAATTCTCTCCTCCACTGTAAGAAGAGAGCCACGACTGTCAGTCTCTCTGCTCTGCCCCTTCAGTGCTCACTGGAGCGCTGGTCTGTGGAGAGGCTGGCTTAGGCTGAGCCAGGTGCCACTCCAGGCATGTGGGTGGATCCGGACTATATGGTCAGGATCTTTTCAGAGCTTGGACCTGTTGAGTGACCTCAGCCGACAGCGGACCTTAGACCGCTGTCTACTGAAAACAGGTCTCAGGGGTGCAGAAGGAACTGCACTTCTATGATCCATAGAAGAAGTGCAGCCAAAATAGCTTTGGCTATACTTCTTTAAGTATAGTGGGGAAGAGTTAAAACCCTTGATTAATGCTGTCTGTGTCTCCACTGGGGAGATTAACCCTGTCTATTTTCCAAAGACATGCTGGCAGGTGAATTGATTCCTGTCCAAATTGGCCCTAGTATGTGTATGTATGAATGTGAGTTGGGGACCTTAGATTGTACACCCCTTGAGGGTTAGGGACTGATGTGATGTACAATATATATGTAAAGCACTATGTAAATTGACAGCGCTATATAAGTACCTGAAATAAATAAAATAAATACATTTGTGCTGTCACCATTGTTACTGAGACTAAAAGTGTAGGATGATTAAGAATTTTGAGTTGTCACCAAACCAGGTATAGAGGTGATATCTTCTAGTGAGGACATTTTTGTGCTACTGACAAAGAGGAGGAAATTTCCTTTATTAGAGAGAGATTTTCTCCTACTTCCTATTGTATCTATGATACAGGAAGTGAAAGGAAATCTCCCTAATGGGACAGAGACAGCAGATGAAAATCTGACATCAAATCTACCATCAAAATATAAAAGAAAAATGTTGTCTTAATGTGAACCTGTTACTAACAGTGCCACTTTTAACCAGCAGCCCACAGTTCTTCATCTGAAGAAGCATGGATATACAGTAGATACAGTTGTGCTCAAAAGTTTGCATACCCTGGCAGACATTGAAATTTTGGCATTGATATTGAAAATATGACTGATCATGCCAAAAAATGCTCTTTTATTGAAGTATGATCACACACAAGGTGACACACACGGGTTAAAATGCCAATTATGTGCTTTTCCATCTTTATAAAGTTCTACTACCTTGTTACGCAGGACTTTTGACAGTTCTTTTCTGATCCCCATGGCTCAGTATCTAGCCTAGTCAGTGTTTCCACGTAAGAGCTAACAAACTCATTGACTATTTATACACTGACACGAATTGCAATTTAAAGAGCCACAGATGTGGGACATTAACCTTTAATTGGCATTTTAACCCGTGTGTATCACCTTGTGTGTCTGTACCAAGGCCAAACATTCCAGGGTATGTAAACTTTTGATCATGGCCATTTGGGTTATTTCTGTTATCATTATGATTTAAAAAGGAGCCAAACAACTATTTGATAATTAATGGCTTCAAATGATCTTTTATATCATCCTTCAATAAAAGAGCATTTTTTTGGCATGATCAGTCATATTTTCAATATCTATGCCAAAATTTCATAATTTCTGCCAGGGTATGCAAACTTTTGAGCACAACTGTACTTTTCCTATGGCCCATGTAATGAAACTCCTCCGTTTCCTAGTCGTTGCAAGTATTCAGCCAGTTGGATGATTCAATCACTTGCTCCTTTCACCACATGCTGCAGTTTCTCCTGTCGGCTTGTCCTGTAGTGATGCATGGCCCACCTGTGGGGTAATCATATCCATCCTTTTTTTTAGAGGCACTTTAAGATACACTTTAATACAAAATTCTGTAATGGCAGGAAATTAAAATGTGAAAGTCACATCAAAATAACATTTAGGGCAAAGAATGCAATATTAGTTCAAAACATGCTCTTATTAAAATATACTATTCCCTTAAAAAAAATATTAGTTGACTTTTCACTTCATAGATTTTCAAAAGAAACGTCTACTAAAATCCATTCCACTTGATCACACATGTCTCATAGTTAGACTCAAAATTCTACATCCTCAAGCAAAAGTACAGGCATTCCTAAAATTCCTATCTTTCTTTTAACAAACTCTTTCAGTTTGAATAATTTGAAACTAACTATTGTTTATACAATTAGCTGAGAAAAAAATGGTGTTATTCAATTGCAGGCTGTGGACCCAATGCGCTCTGGTTACTATGATGACCTTCGCAGCAAGTTCCAGATGGAAAATGCCATATTAAAAATGGAGTATGCGGAGTCCAATTTGATTATTGTTCTAGATAAGGTAATCGGTGAAAAATCTTTACAACAAGCTATACATTACTTATTATCGGTAGCAATTTTTAACACACATTATTTTGTTCTCAGAAGCTAACAAGATTATGCCACCTAGACCATTTGGTATTAATCAGTCACATGTGTCTGTCAAACAATCAGCTTCGCTCCCTTCCCAGAGACATTTCCATGCTGCTAAGTATTGAGGTATGTGAATTGGATCTAGGAGAGTAGGGTCTTGTGTATTATCTGGATATATATAATTGTTAATGTAGTTTTCACACATGCATTTTAGAAAGTTGCATGATATTTTTATAAATCTGTTGGAAGCCTTATTAGTGCAATACTGATGAAAATATGCAAAAGGTTCTCTGATACATTGGACCTGCAAGAAGGATGTATTCACACTGAATGTGGCCACGACTCCAATGTCTGTATGCTAAGTCTGTTACATATTTTAGAGATTTGGCAATATATTAAAGATTCCAACATGAGGATGATAGGAGCAGTTGGTCATCCTATCAGCTGCATAAGCTCCTGCCGGCATAGATACATAAATTAAGTGTCAAACAACTTTTCAAGCCAGTAACACTGCAGATCAACTTTATTGCAGACTCTATGCTGCTCATCCTACTGGTTTATGTAGGGGAATACATACAAACTACACTGTGCACAATTATTAGGCAAGTTGTATTTTTGAGGATTAATTTCATTATTGAACAACTACAGTTCTCTGGGTCAATCCAAAATGTTAATAAACCTCAAACCTGAGTATTTAAGAAAGTAAAAATGAGGTTTTGACTTTCTTAGGAGAATATCTATGTGTGTACAGTTATTGGGAAACTATTAGTGTGCCGAATTATGCAATTAAATGAAAAATTAAAATTTACCATCTCACTTGTTTATTTTCATCTGTTAACCACTTCCCGTCCGCCCTATAGCAGAAGTATATATATACGTATATATACGTGATTTTGTATTTCCGGGTAGGGGGCGCGTGCCCTACCCGCGTTGCCATTCGCGGCCCCAGCTGTCAATCAACGGGTCACGGCCGGTGATTACTCGCCGGTGCCCGATGATTGCCGAGCATCTCCTCTGTCAACTCCTGCACACATGCAAAGCAGTGTACTTACAGTGAAGCACAAATACAGCCCCACAGTAAAACAGACACCGCACACAGTTAATCCTTTGATCACCCCACATGTTATCTCCTTCCTGCCCAGTGCCATTAGTACAGTGTCAGTGCTTTTTATTAGCACTGATCACTGTATTGGTGTCACTGGGGATGTCATTTACACCAAGTCAGTTCCCTCCAGTATCAGAATGCCCGCCGCAGTGCCGCTATAAGTCGCTGATTGCCGCTATTCCTGGTAAAAATAATTTAAAAAAAATCCCAGTATATAACGCCATTTATAAATGCTATAACTTTCACGTAAATCAATTATTTACACGTATTGTGTTTTTTTTTTAAGCAAAGACATGTGGCAGAATACATTTTGGCCTAAATTTATGATGAAATTTGATTTTTTTTTTTGTTTTTACTGGAACAATGTTTAATAGCAAACAGTCATAAATATTGTTTTCTTCACAAAATTTATTTATTTTTTTTTAGAGAGCAAAAAATAAAAACTCACAGGCGATCAAATACCACCAAAAGAAAGCTCTATTCGTGGGGGAAAAAAGGATGTAAATTTAATTTGGGTGCAGCATTGCCTGACCGCATAACTGTCAGTTAAAGTAACGCAGCGCCGTAATACAAAAAATGGTCAGGAAGGGGGGTAAATCCTCAGAAGGGCAAGTGGTTAAAGTGAGAATGATAACCAACTCAAAGTTTACAAATGAACATTCCTAGATTGTAAGCTCCAAGGAGCAGGGCCCTCCAATCCCTCTTGTATTGAACTGTATTGTTGCTGTATTGTCTCCCTTTATATTGTAAAGCGCTGAGCAAACTGTTGGCACTATATAAATCCTGTATAATAATAATAATAATTTCTGACATTACAAAATTCATTACTCCATTCATGGAGTCTCAGTTTCTTGATCTGTTGACAATCAACTTTTTGTGCAGCAGCAACTACAGCCTCTCCAAAATCTGTTCAGAGAGCTGTACTGTTTTTCTTCACCATAAATCTCCCGTTTAATTAAGGCCCACAAGTTTTCAATAGGGTTTAAGTCAGGTGAGGAAGGGGTCCATGTCATTGTTCTTTCATCTTTAAGGCCTTTACTGGCTAGCCACGCAGTGGAGTACTTTGATCCATGTGATGGAGCATTGCCCTGTATAAATGTCATGGTCTTCTTGAAAGATGCAGACATTTTCCTGTACCACTACTTGAAGAAAGTGTTGTCTAAAAACTGGCAGTAGATTTGGGAGTTGATTTTGAGTCCATCTTCAACCCGAAAAGGTCCAACTAGCTCATTTTTAATAATACTAGCCCATACCAGTACCCCACCTCCACCTTGCTGGCGTGTGAGTTGAAGTGGAGCTCTGTGCCTGTTAATGATCCAGCCACGGGCCCATCCATCTGGTCTGTCAATAGTTACTCCCTAATCAGTCCATAAAACCTTTGAAAAATCTGTCTTCAGATATTTCTTGGCGCAGTCTTCACGTTTCAACTTGTGTGTCTTGTTCAGCGGTGGTCGGGTTTCAGCCTTCCTTACCTTGGCCATGTCTCTGAGCACTGAACACCCTGTACTTCTAGGCACTTCAGGTAGGTTGCTGTTCTGGAATATGACAGCACTGGAGGATAATGGGTTCTCTGTAGCTTCAAGTTTGACTCTTCTCAAATCTTTGGCAGTTAATCTTTTTTTCTCAAGTCGCTTCTTGTGACCAGTTTGGCTATTTGCAACAAACCATTCTGTGATCATGCCCCATATATATTAGCAGTTTCAAGAGTGCCACATCCCTCTGAAAGACTTTACAATTTTTTACTTTTCAGAGTCAGTTAAATCTCTTTTTTGGCCCATTTTGCCTGAGGAAAAGAAGCTGCCTAATAATTATGCACACCTTGATATAGGGTGTTGATCTCCTTAGCCCGCACCCTCCCACATTACACAAATATGCATCACCTGATATGCTTAAATCCAATAACCATTCAAGTTTATATAGCTTGGATTTGGACAATATGCACAAAAATGGTAATTTGGTCAAAATACTCGCTTGCCTAATAATTGTGCACGCAGTGTATGTCGCCTGTGCCCCAATTACAATTTCTGAGATTAGGAAGGGAACTTGTATGTTCTTACCAGAGGGTGAGGTCATCCACATGCACAAACTGTAAATAAATCACTAATATTTGTACTTCTGGGCACTTTCCTAAATTACCTATACTAGCACATTAAAGAGGAACTACAGTTAGATTAAAAAAAAAAAATAAAAGTCTGCAGCTACTTTAGGGCAAATTAGATGAGAATAGCTGAAGTGGAAGCAGGTACCTTTCAGAAAAAGGTACCTTCACCCAGAAAAATATAAGCTGCCATTAAGGGTTGTGGGGGAGGGGGATAAGTGGAACCTTCACTTTTACAGTACTACTTGGATTAGCAAATCATGTTCCACCTTTTTTTTAATCTAGAGCAGGAAATTAAGTCTAGATCAAAAAACATTGTGTGGGCTTTGGGCAACAAACTAACCATTACACATTACATTTTTTTTTTAAATTTTACTATGACATTTCCTCTAATTAGGGGAACTTCCTCATTCTTGCTGTTTTTTAGCTTTACAACATTCGGGAAACGCTACAACTTCAAAAATATTTTGCACATAAAAAATGGCTTTTTGCCATTTTTTATATGCAAAATATTTTTTGATATTGAATTTTGTGGTGAGCTCTCCTCACCTTATCTACATATTCTAGGACATAAGCCTGGTAGGATCATTTTCTCTTTAAATTTTTGTATCAAAAGCTACAACTTACAAAAAAAAGCACAGCAAAATCATTAAACATGAAAACAATAGAGGGGTCTTTGCAAAGGACAAAGGTTTACATTAAAGTGTTAGTTGCTCTCTATTTTTCAACATTGTGCCAAAAATTTAAGGCACTATATGCCGATCTGCTGACCTTAAGATTTACTGCTACTCAGGGGCTCTGGGATTCAGAAAAATAGCAGCCACCAGCAATAAGAAACCAGAACAATACTGGAGGCAACTTACAGCATACACTCATTTTGGTATCAAAGTTATTAATGTGGAATGTATGGTAAAGAACCATTATTTTTTTTATCAAGTTCTCTGGAGTAAAGTTCAGCATTAAAAGTGTAAGATAAAGAGAAAATAATTAAAAGGAATATGAATAGGAAAAAATAAAATGTAAGTTTTCCTGTAAACTGAAATTATTTCAGCATTGAAGATGTGTTTGAACATTGTGCATTACTGTAGCTACAGTATATGAAGCTCTGTGGATTCCATCTCTATTTTTGAAGCTGCTATCTTGCAGTTGGTTTTACTCTGTCCTTATATTTTGTTTTGCAGGTGCTTGAAGTTGATAATAATGAGGTTTCACATCTGGAAGGAGTGTGTGAACTTACCACATCTAGAGGAATTGTCCCTAAAATGCAATAGTATCCTTTTTATTAGTACAACATGTTCTTTGATATTGGTAAGCTCTGGGAGAGGGATGTAGTGTAAACAGAATTTAGTAAAAAATTTCTAAAAAAGGAACATATGAGGGTAGACATGTGGGAGCTGCCATCGCAGACTTATTTTATTCATTTTCTTTTAAAGGTACTTGCAGACTTTTTTTAAAGGTGCTATATTGTCATAACTTCACTACCAAGTCATGGTACCAAACATATGCAAATCACCAACCATGTATCAATAACTATATGCCTGTTCTTGCTCCAGGACTCAGTAAGTAGTCAAACAAGAAGCTTAATCCTTCAATAGGGTAGTAATGACAGCTCGAATATGTCTAGCCTAATGGATTTCCGTTAAGAATCCTATGCACACTCAGTCATTTTTTCATAATGTAAACTTTGCATTTTATATGTGACGTAAAAATAGTTCTATCACTTTTGGATGTGACTTTAATATGTTATGTGTGTTTTTGCTTTTTTAATGACAGTTGAAAACATGTCATACAGAAGTGTACTTTAGATATTTGTAATACATTTTACATTGGTGGTTGTTCTGCATTATTGTACATGATATGGAGGATTATTGATTGTATTTGCGAATTTAGCTATCAGCAAAAAATCATATAGGAGCTACATCTAATGAACGGCAAGTAGAAGATTTAGCCTGTCGCTTCCCCAAATTTTCTGAAAAAATTTTCAGCCATCCTCTATGTTCATAGATCAGTTTCGTATATGGGAACATTTTACTAATCTCCACATTGTGTTGTAAAGTAGGCACCCAAGCTTGGATCCACACCTTTGCTATCATTTCATTTCATGGAAGCAAACCATATGTCATGCAAAAACGTGCACATGAAAGTTTAATTCTAAGACTCAGGGGGACCCAGAAGGCATAGCAGAGGGTCTAGTTGTACCTGGGAACCCATGGCATCATGCAAAAAGGTTATTATTTGCTTTCAGTAAGCCTTTATCTGTGAGCAGGTAGAGACCAGAGTAGGTGAAAAACTTAGGGTATAACTGGTTATCTTGCTAACTCATTTGCTTCAGTTATGTGCAATGAAGCATAAATAGATGCGTGAGCTTATTACGTTTCAGGGAGACTAACCATTGGATGGTTAGAACTTCTTCCCAGATCTTATCATCAATAGGTCCCAAAGCAGTTTTCCACAAAATCGTTCTATATCTGGGGTTTGTGCTGTGGGGTCCTGGAAGGCTGCGTAGAATTCAGAAATCATTTGTTTTGGAGATACTCTAATAATTGCCTGCAAGCACAGGTGATAAGGACCCAAATATTAACATGTAGGACAAAAAAAAAAAAACCCACAAAAAGAACAAAATGTGTACTATTGTTTCTTGGCCTTACTGTGAGTACAAAGAACAAATAACACACACATTTTGAATATGGTGCCAGTGCAATCGTCAGGAGTAGGAGAATTTATTTTGCAGGTTTTTTTGGTGGTAGTACTTGGTAATGGCATAAAAAATACAGCTAAAGTTTAAAAAATAGTATTTTATTACTATTTTTGGCCCAGTTTTTCTTTCACAATAAGACAAAATCAGGAGATATCCATTAAAGGATAAGTTCATCTTTTGTAACGTGTTACACCCATATTCAGGGTGTAACATGTAACATGTTGCGATGAGACCACCGCTTTGACGGCTAGTGGGAGATCCTCTCCCTCTCGCTAGCTGTCAAATTTTAAAAAAAGCGGCCCACACCAACCACGTCACGCATTCACAGTCTTCTGTGAATGAGATACTACAAGTCCCGACAGCCTTAGCGGCTGTAGGTTTGTAGTCCTCAGTTAACTACCATGGCGCTGTGGAGCGACATGGTAGTTCATTCATTCTTCCTATCAGTATATCTGCTTGCTCATACATCCCGTAATTGCAAGAAGATATACTGACAGATCTGCAGGGATACCTGCATGGAACCTGCGATCTCTTGATCGCTGGTGCAATGCTTTACAGGCTCCTGCAACCAAAAATAATATCTGCAAAAAAATGTGTATTTATTTAATTTTTTTACTAAAAGTTAAACTTATCCTTTAACATTTACTACAAATTTAAAGCAAAATCTCGCCTGAAAAAACAATAAAAAAAACAAGGTATAATCCACCTGGACACACTAAATAGTTGCGATGATATGTACAGTTTTACTATCCTATGTCAAAGTTGCAAAATTGGGCTTGGATGTTAAGGTTTGGTTTTGACCTTGGTCATGAAAGTGTTAAGCTACATGAATGAAAAATGGCAACTGTAAACACCACCCTTGGTGTTATATGGTTTGTCTCAACACCTGTTACTGACATTATTGTTGGATAGCTTGGTCATCTGTTAACCCTTTCGCTAGGCTAGGCATTATATGGACCTGACGGCAGGGGGTTTTATACACAAATCCTGTGGCTGCAGGTGGAAGCAGTCAGGCGGCTGCGCTGCTGCCCGATTGCTTCCACAGTCCCCGGTACGTTGTGTCCCCTATATGATGAAAAAAAAAAGTTAAGTTAAAAAAATCTTTTTTTTTTCAAAAAAATAAAGTTACATTCAAGCATATAACGTGCCCCCCCCCCCCAAAAAAATTTTTTTTTGAGAACCCCCACAAGTCTCAGTTCACACTGCTGTGACCCCATTGTCATGTGATTTAGAGTGCGACTATGCAGCGCAACTTGCTTTCATTTTTCACGCGACTTTCACGCAAATTAGTGAAGGAACCATTTTAAAAGTCACTGCGGTTTGAGTCGCTTTGACTGGAGCGGCTGTCCTTGAAATTAATGTGTTTTCACTACCTGCCCCACCAGCTAACATTACACCACCATCGGGTTCTGTCTGCCCTCTCCACCTTCAACTCTTGCTTCCTACCCTTGAATGGATATGAATGCAATATAAAAATAGAACCCAATTTTTGAACAACTATGTACTTGTCCATACACATTTCAGTTCAATCATATTTGTGAAAAATGGAACTGGGTGTGGACATTTAGGGGTTTATTTACTAAAACTGGAGAGTGCAAATCTGGTGCAGCTTTGCATAGAAACCAATCAGCTTCCAGATTTTATTGTCAAAGCTTAATTGAACAAGCTGAAATTAAAAGCTGATTGGCTGCCATGCACAACTGCACCAGGTCTTGCACTCTCACCTTTTAGTAAATAACCCTCTTAGACCCCTTTCACATGGGCAGACTGATCAGGTCCATCTGTCCATTTTTCAGGCAGACCTGATTGGACCATTCATTGCTGTCTATGGAGCGGCGGATGTAAACAGGCATGTGTCTGTTTTACACCTGCCTGCATCCGATCCGCTAAAAACAGATGGATATGGGATCTGCTTCCCATCCCTAGTGGTCTAGCGGATCGGATGACAGTCGGATGTAAACGGACAGGAAGTTTACATCTTACTGCCCATAGAGGACAGCTGGGTGTGTCCCAAGCAGAACAGACACAGACCTGTCATCTGTCTGTTGATCCCCCCGCTGAGCAGGTGGATCCGCTGGCAGAGTCCTCCCATGTGAAAAGGGCCTAAGTCATTTGCAGCCAATATTCCTGACAATTAATTGAAAAATAAAAAAATATTTCATTCTGTTTCTAAGTCTCCATGCACACGGGGTGTTTTTAACGCTGGTAATGTTAGCTGTGTAAAGTCATCATAAAAACGTGCGTTTTTTAAGCTTTTGTTTAGCATTTTTGTATTAGTGTTTTTCCACATTTGCGTTTTTTTTTTTTTTACAAAAAAATTTTTTTTTTTTTTTTTTTTGGTCAAAAAAGTCCAAAAACGCCATTTTGCAACATTTTATCGCATTTTGTTGCGTTTTTCAACGTTAGAGTTTTTTTACAGCTAAAAACTCCTAGAAACCCACTAGTCCTGGGTTTTTTTTTTCCAGCCAAAAAACGTCCCTGCCAAAAAACGTTGATTACAGTCTATGTGTGCATGGACACATAGGATAACATGCTGGGGAGTTTACTGGCTGTAGAAAAAAAACATCAAAAGCCAAAAACAGCCGCTGCAAAAATGTCCATGTGCATGAGGACTAAGTGTTATACTAGGTGCTGTATATTGAGCATTGTCTTTTTCCATTTCATTTTTGTATGCTTTAATTTGGTCATATGGAAAATACTCTTAATTATTAAATGTGTTTGCAAGAAACCAGGAAACACATATGTTTTAAACTAGTGAAAAAAAAAAAAAACACAATTATGGAAAAAAAATTGAATTAGAAAAAAATTCTAAAACAATGACAAGTTTCAGGTAGTTGTGCCTCATAGTAAGAACACAGTATGAATCTGACGTTAAGATTTGTATTGTATTTATAGAGAAACCTGCAGTAACTCATGAATCATGAATAAGCACATTTGCTTGTGTATTTGTGTGTGCTTGGTGTGCTTTATAATCAGTACTCATGGCGAATAGAACCTAGTAAAATCAGAAAGGGGCAGCTGCACAACTTCACTGCATTCAGTTCAGCTAGTTGGCACACTAGTTGGCACAGAATTCTAACTATGAACTTTTCTTACGTTGTATATTGCCATGCCTTTTACATTACTCACTACCAAAAAGGGGAGCACATAGTCAGCAATAATTCTCAGTTACACTGTGGCATTCATAGAATATGTGAAACCAATTACAAACATTTTATATAAGCTTTAACATGTAATTCAAAGCTTCTTTTCAATATTTATAAATCTGCAGCTTTCATTAAAATAATATCTGGTTATCCTGCCGTGAAGGTCCTTGTTCAGGCGATAACACTATGTTCATTTTTCCCACTTGGTCTCCTGCATTGTCACCCTGTCTCAGGTGCTTCCAGAGTAGAATACAAGAGACCACTCCAGAACTTATTTTCTGGGTATGGTCCAGCATCAGGGAACCTGCCTCTCGGGCTAGTTCACACCACATGCAGTCTAGTGCATTTTTAATCTGCATCAAAAATGCATGGACAGTAGTTAAAGCAGAACTCCACTCAAAAGGGAAAGTTTTGATTATCTCCCTCCTCCCCGCCTTTTTAACATTCGGCACTTTTTTTGGCAGGGTGGAGAGCAGGTACCTGGTTTTGCCTAGGTGATCCGAGGTTCACACCCCCCCCCCCCCCTTTGCCCACAGCTTTCTGGCTTGACAGAAGGCTTGCACATGAGGCTTCCCAGCCTTTTTTTCCCTTAGTTAAGGTGCCAGCGCCTGGACTAGAAGCTCATTGAAGAATCAGCTCGGGTGAGGACAGCGCTGGATCCCTGGTCAGGTAAGTATCCTTATATGAACAGTCAGCAGTTACAGTATTTGTATTTAATTTCTTGTGGAGGACTGAAGCTCCACTTTAACATGGATTCCAATGGCATAGTTCACCAGTGCAGTGCGTTCAAGTGCAGTCAATAAAAGTAGAACATGCTGCCTTTTTTCTGCATGGAATTCAGCTGAAATGTGACAAAACGCTCCAAAATGCATCAAAAACAAACATGTCACCTGGCTTCTCTGGCATATGTTTATGTTCTCAGATGAGGGGAAATCCCTCTTTGTTTCCTCCTCTCTGAACTGAATTATTTTACCCTCGGAGGCTGGACTTCCCTTCCTTCTTCGGTATCCCATACCTATCCTTTCCCGCTTCCTCCCCTCCCGCCCCCCTTTTCCCCTTTTTTTTATTTTTTTTTTTCTTCTCTCTCTCCCCCCCCCCCCCCCCTTTTGTCTTTTTTCCAGCTGTTTGTTTCTGACTCCATTCTGTTCCTCATTCATTTATATACGCTTTCTATAAAAATGGACGGACCCCAGCACTCATTGTTGTAGTTATTTTTGCCCCCCCCCCCCCCCCCCCCGGGTGCACTCCTGTCAGCACTCTTCTCTATAGTATACAGTATATTGTATAGCCTGTCGATTGTTTACTTTTTGTATTACTCCTGGCTGGTTATTGCATTGTGATCTCTGTACTTGGGGGACGTTACCCCTTTCCTTCTGACGTATATACTGGAGATGTTTTGCACTGTTTTGCGAGTGTGGTGCTGTCTACATAAATAAAGAATTTGAAAAATAAAAAACACACATGTCCCTTATAAAGATGAAGAAAAAGAAAATGCACTAGAACACATCACAAATACATGTAAATGCACATGAAGAAAGGCTTCCAGAATGCAGAAAATGTGCGATCCAACCCTAAAGGTTTGTTACATATGCAAGAAAAATTATCATATTTCAATGAATCTAGTTTACACCATTGCAGCATTTTAAAAAAGCATAGCATGCTGCATTTTTTCACACCAGAACACGCAAATACATGTAAATGCAGCTCAGTAAATAAAATAAATAATGCCAAAAATGTGCTGCTAACACTACAAACACATGGACATCGTGCCATTTTCCTCTGACCTCTCAAATAAAAGCAAATCTATATTTAGGGCTAATTCACACATTGTGTGGTGACAGACATTTTACTTCATTGTAAAATGGTCTGTCACCACAAGGACACACAGAAGAGAATTGTTTCCTGTGCATCCTGTTCACACTGTAATACAGCCTGGAGCTGCTCTGCAGTGGGCTGCGATAAAATGCACACATACTGCATTTTATCACAGCACACTGTACAGAATTGCATGGCACTGTACAGCAGCGTAGCACATTGCGCTGCTGTACAGTATCATAAATGAGTGTACATTTTGATTACTGAATCGCCACACTGCCACTTAGCGCACTCGGGAGTGGACAGCTTCTGAACGGGTAAAGCCCTCTGGCAGCTGTCCGCTCTAGTTTGAACTCAGCCTTAAAATAATATATGAGCTGCAATTGTTGAGCTTTCTTTCTGAAAAAATGCTAGCTGCATAATATCATTTAATTACATTCTTGTCCCATTAGTGGTTTATTATCCCTATTTTTTTCTATATAAACAGTGTGTCTAATAACACAAAATATCTAGTAATCCATTTTCCATGCAGTTGTACATATGCATGCCACGTTGCTACCTTACCTGTATTGTAACACTTGGAAATTATTAAATGTATCACTTCCAGTTCCATAGTCCAATCATTTAAAGGTATTAGCTTTGGAATGTTAAATGGTTTAATAGTTGAGGTGGAGTAGGTTACTGCTGTACTGCTCACAAGGAATAAATCTATCTGATTAACAGTAAGCACCAATTTTTACTAGTGTCCTGTTTCAGCTTCGGTAGAGGTTTCTTTGTTAGGAGCAGGGTTGGTACATAATGCCTCTTACAAGGCTCATAAACTTGTATGTCCTGTGTATTTACACTGTCTGTTGATCTTTGTGTGTTTCTTGTCTTGCATTTTATGGTTACCAGACTTTTCTTTAAATATGTCGTTGAGGAGTGAGTCTACATTGGGAAATCTGTTTTCCTTAACAGGTTAATTTAGAAATATCAAAAGTTTCAGATCTCCAACCATTGGTCAGCTGTCCTCGCCTCTCAGTACTACGTTTACAAGGAAACCCCCTGTGTGAAATTGCAGATGTGCAAGATCAGTTGAAGGCTTATCTTCCACAGGTGGAATCTATCGAGATTTGACTTATTTATTATGGTAGTTGATCCTGTCCTACATCAATAAACAGTATGCACTGGATTTTGTGGTCTTTATTTTGTGGTGGTGGTTTACCTTGGAAGACTAGAGTGGAAAGTTTAGGAAAATTCTTAAACCTGAATTCAAAGATAAAATGCATATAAGGGATCTGTTTTACCTGTCTAAATTATTTTTATTCTGTCCGGTGATTTACACAGCTGTTCCACACAATAAAGTGCTGCCTGATGGTAGTAGGGTGGTACCTGATTTGTCTGTGTGCAGGTTTACTCTCACTTGCCAGACATTTTCGCTCCCGAACCCTGTGACTTGACAGTAAAAGAAAGAGCAGCACACTGATGAGCTCATCTATCTGTCACTCTGCTCTCCCCTCCTGTTAGCATGCTGTTTCTTCCTCCCTCTCGCTGGGCTCTGCTGTACAGTACAATGCAAGAGGCATACACTAAATACATTTAATGATGTGTTAAGGAATACAGAGCTATGTTCATTTGTGCCTTTTACTATATATCTGCCTGGTGCTCATGTTGAAACATTCCTGATAAAATGTTGTCTGGAAAGGAAACAGACTAGCATTACTACTACCTTCATTTTATGTGACCACTATAGTTCCACTATAAATACGCACAGCAGCTAAATGGTTAGCACTTCTGCCTGGCAGTACTTGGGTCGTTGGTTCGATTCCCAGCCACGGCACCTCCTGCCTGGAGTTTGCATGTTCTGCCTGCCTCTGTGGGTTTCCTCCGGGTACTCCGGTTTCCTCCCACACTCCAAAGACATGCTGGTAGGTTAATTGGCTCCTGTCTAAATTGGCCCTAGTATGTATGAATGTGAGTTAGGGACCTTAGATTGTATGCCCGTTGAGGGTTAGGGACTGATGTGAATGTACAACATATATGTAAAGTGCTGCACAAAATGGACGGCACTATATAAGTACCTGAAATAAATAAATAAAATAATAAATGAATACAGCATATTGTAGTTCTGATACATGTCTTAAAGCCCAACTCTGTGCTGCAAGATTTTCCGAATATTAGACGCACACATAGTTTTTATTACCTCTCCCAACTTCTATCTCCTTGTCCGATAGCTTTACACTATTGTTAAATCACTCTGTAACATTCTGTTAGATAATACAGCTCCCACTGTACTTCTGATCTGATCTGGACTTTAGCGCTGTAAGTTTCATAGTACTTGACTCGTGTCCTGCCTCGCCCTCTCTCACCATTAGCCATTACCAAAACACAAAGCTGAAGGCTGCATTTTGTGAATGGTGGAGATACCACACCAATACTGAGGTCTATGAGACCTGCAGCGCTCATTCCAGATTGGGCAAGAAGTAAAGTGTGAGATGTACTATCTGACAGAATGACAGAGTTAACGGTAATGTGAGGCAACACAAAGCACATAAAAAAAATTGGAAAATCCTGGGGCCTGGAGTAAACCTATGTTTTGCCAATGAAGCCCCCCCCACTTAGCAGCAGATACTCACATTTCCCTGAATTCTAATAGCTCTGCCAGGAGTAAATAAAGAAAACCATGCATGAGCTTCACATTGTTCTAGCCAAACCATAAATAGGGCTGAGGACTGAGGACTTTCTCAACCCCTATATGGTAAACCTATCACCAGTGTTGTCACATAAGAGTAAGTAAGGGTCATCATGCACATTACAAACTTGACCATACAATCTTTGTACAACCAACTTTAGGTTTACCAAAACTAATATAAAGACCTACCTAATCTATCATGCAGGCAATTGCAGTATGTATTTGTGGGTAGATCTAAAGTAGGTTGTGCAATCGAATTGTAACATATATGTTGAGCTTCGGGCAACATGTGCCTCCAAATTAAGTAGTACCAGGTATTTTCTTTGATCCGAGCAGTTGAATGGGGCCTGTGGTAGTGAGCAAAAATGATGTGCTGCTAGTAAAGAAGAGCTCAGGCATCCTCCAGGCTCATCTCTAACCCACTCTTTTGTACTCCATTAAGCTGTGGGACAGGCCTAGCTCCACAGCTCATTGGAGTACAAAGAGTGGGAGTTCTGCGTTTGGGTTAGAGATGAGTCTGGAGGATGCCTGAGCTCATCTTTACTAGCACATAATTTTTGGGTTCGAGATTAAGGATGCCCATGCTTCTCTCTAGCTGCTAGGAACAAGTGGAGGATTCAAGCAAGGCCCTGCATGACCAGGGCACAGGTTTGCTTTAAAAAGTTTCAGAATATATATATATATACATATATATTTATATGTTACATAACATCTTTTTGGTGTGACATCATGGTCTGTTTTCTCTCACTTCCTATCTGGCATTCCATTGACCTCCTGCATCAACCTAAGGGAGCTGGTTTATCACCATTAAAGTATGTTTTCTTCCAATGAAAATGACGATAGTCTCCTCGGCAGCCTTAACCTGTTTGGGAGTAGACTGTAACTTGTTTTTTTTACTGGCATTTCTCCAGCACACTGTAAGGGAACAGATTGGACTTATAAATATTTAATATGAGTAGTTAAGACCATGGCTAACCTATCATTTAAAAGTAATTATCTTCTGCATGGACTCAGCAGAGAAGAAAGAAGGTGGTGTCCTATTCTTCCTTATTTCCACACCTGTTCCACCTGTTTGGAGTCAAAACACACCTAGGAGAGCCTCTTCATGAATCAACACTTACTCAGAGGAACTGAGAGCTTCCCGTCATTGTCACTGTACCCAAAGGATTAGATAGCCACTACACTCCTAAATGTAGCTGGGACATTCATCTCCTAGCCATTTCTTTGAAATGATAGCCACTAACATACATAGATTTGATACAGGTATGCATATTAAAAAGCATGAATGCAAATGAGAGTTGAATAATTTTAAAGGCAATTCTTTGTATACAATTGAGAGTGGATCATCTCAGAAAGAATTTCAGAATTCCTCCTAATGGAAGTCCTTTGATTTCTTTTCATTAATAAAGAGAAAATCCCCTGCTCACTTGTCTTGCTTAGTTTACACTTCTTAAGGAATATTTTCATACAGTAGACTACAGTAATGACTGACAGATCATGTTTTCCATACCTATGGATAATCTGTGGTAAAATAATTAGTCTTTGCTGTGAATAATGAAAACACCTTTGTAGTTACCTGTAAAACTGGAAACATTGACCTGACCCGATGGTGGTGCTTGATGAATGCACTTGGGAAATGCTTGGTTAGAGTGCTAAGCTTCATATAAAGAGATTTTAATGGTGAAGATACAGTAGATACAGAGTCTCTTTTGTCATATAACTAACCCTCCATCAGATGTTTACTGCTATCAGTAGCTTTGTTAGAAAGATTTTTCCTCACTTCCTGTCCTGCTGACAAAGCATTACCAGACAGGAAGTGAGTATAGCTCTCCAACAGCAACACAGAGAAATAAAAAGGCTTTTCCTTAGTAAAGTAGGGGCATGCTAGAATCCTGTCAGATATTTTTTGTTCTAGATTTCCATTTACTTACTGTCTCATTAAACTGTTGCTAGATGTGAGAGTATATCTCTCTCACGAAGTCCCGAATAGCAGTAAAAACTGTGGTTCTAATCCTTCCCCACTCTAAATCTATGAAAAAAGGTTTTGCCTTGACATACACTTTAAAGGTAGAAGAACCCAAAAGGTATTTGCTATGTTATAGGGAACAGTTAGAACTGTGAATGTTACTGTAATGAACTGTTACTATGCCTAAGTAGTACCTTAAAACAGAAGTCCACACGCTGCAGACCAATGCCGATCCGTGGCCAGTGGGGCACCGGCCCCCGCTCGGTAAGGGGTGGATGGCAGTCGAGTGAGACTAGATTTGTATTTGCACCGCTCTCGTTGCTACATGGGCTCCGCTTCTTGTTGGTGGGGTTCGGTGGCAGTATTTCGATAACATCAGAGTCTCACCAGGTTGGCTGCCATGGTAATGTTCCTGCTGCAGTCTCTACTGTCTCTGGGGCAGCAGCAGAACCAGTCCAGAGGGGCTCAGGAAGCAAAGTTGAACCTTACTGCCTTGCACCATCTATCTGGTATGCACCCTTTGTTCCTCCATTGGAACAGGTGCTCTGCTGCTCTCCTACTGCTTGCCCAAGCCAGGACTGCCAGACAGGTGAGCACTGTTGGGGCCATTCATGGAAGCAATGGGCAAGATTTGGAGATCTCGCTTACTAAAAGATATTGATGAGATAGAATGAGTCCAAAGATGGGGGAAAAAAATGGTGACAGGTCTGGAGGTTAAAACATATCAAGAGAGACTTCAGGAACTTAATATGTACAGTCTAGAGGAAAGAAGGGAAAAGGGGGACATGATTGGAACCTTTAAATATATCAAGGGAGTGAAAAAGGTTCAGGAGGGCAGTATTTTCAATTTGAAACCAAAATCAAGAACACGGGGACATGACCTCAAACTAACTGGAGGAAAGTTCAAAACTAATCTCAGAAAGTATTATTTTACTTAAAGGGTTGTTGATGCTTGGAATAAACTTCCAGCAGAGGTAGTGAGCCAGTCAACAGTAAATAGCTTCAAATATGCTTGGAACAAACATAGATCTATACTCAGGGCGAAAAAAGGTAATGAAATTAAAAAAACAGGCAGACTTGATGGACCACTTGGCCTTTTTCTGAAATCACTTTTCTATGTTTCTAAAATTGCAGTAAGGCTGTATTGAATCCCCTGGATAAGTCAGTAATGGGGAAAATCTGCTGATGGGAAATACTGGTGACTAGTCATGCTTTCTCTGCCTGCATTTTCTTGGGTACAGCTTTCAGAGTTCAGTTCCCTGTTAAAGGAGAAGTGCAACCAAAGTTCATTCTGCAACCTTTAAATATATCAAGGGAGTGAAAAAGGTTCAGGAGGGCAGTATTTTCAATTTGAAACCAAAATCAAGAACACGGGGACATGACAAACTAACTGGAGGAAAGTTCAAAACTAATCTCAGAAAGTATTATTTTACTTAAAGGGTTGTTGATGCTTGGAATAAACTTCCAGCAGAGGTAGTG